TAATTGCACCGTATCGTGGGAATGTCGTGGGATTTGTAGGCTGTGCGGCGGTTGCCGTCGCTTCGCTTTCGTTCATGGTCCTCTCCCCACTTCTCCCGATATAACGTACAGTACCGGAACCAGGCGACGAGCCCAAGTGCACGCCGAAATACACTCCACAGCACAATCCGAAACGAAAGAAAGCTTGGTAGCAGTGAGGACTAGGGAAAGGCAACATACCCGAGTACTGTACACCGCCTTGTCACAAGTACCGAAGGAGGAATCACAAGCTCCTTACCCATCACAGCTGGAAAAAGGACCCAGCAAGCAACCCATATTATACCACCTTACCAGTGCAGCAGAGTACAGTACAGTACAGTACAGTACGCGAATACCGTACCGTACTGTATATACCAAACAAAATGCATTTCACCTGCCCTACGAGACACCCACATGGCGACTTTCTTTCCCCTTCAAGCCAGATGGATTATGCACGCCCGTATCTAATACCCAATCAATCAATCAATCAATCGATAAATTGGTAAATCGCCCCCCCTCCCTCCCTAGTAACACTAACAGTAACTGTACGGTACAAGTACGGCACCATACCGTACCAAACTTGGCTCCGTGCACCCCCCTTCCTTCGTTTATTTGTTTTTTTATCTGTTTTTTCTTCTTCTCCTTCTCCAAACCAGCGATCGCAGAAGCACATTCCGAGCCCGAACTTCCGACCGGATGGCCACCCGCGGCGTGGGATTGGGCGAACACATACAGCACTGTAATGTACATGGTCGTGTTATAGGTGTGGAGTAATTGTAGGGAGGAGGTACAAGAAAGAGCAAATATATAATATGTGGAAAAAAAAAAAAGAATAGACAAAAAAAGAAAGAAAGAAAGAAAGAAATGCATGTCAGGCAGTAATATCATACCGAAACACGGGGAACACCCGCACCTCCCAAGACAAAAACTTTTCGATGTGATATCTTGCATCGTATCGTGCTCCCGCCACCAATGGTTCTCGAATCGTGTCGTGTCGTACTGTACTGTGCTAGCACAAACTTGGTGAGTGCCGTACGGCACGATGGCTTGTACTAGTATCATTGGAATAAGGTACGGTACCTGTACGCACTAGTCAGTACATTACGGTACGGCAAACCTCGCCGTACGGTGACCTATAATATCATACATACTCGTTTGATACCCATATCCCTACATTTTACCCATGATACTTCCCACCCCTACCTATAACACCTTCAAGCGACGATCCGTTTCGCAATAACAATAACAATATTTGCCTTACAACTTATGTACCGTAGCCGTACTCTACTGGTGCGGTGCGGTGCGGTGCAGTACCATACCATACAGACGGGCGGTCGGGTTTGGAAGACCCCGTCCATCCATCGATTTGTGGAAATTGCGATGCCTTGTCTGTTCTTGGTCGTATCATCATATCGTACATATCATTCGTTATTTTTTTCATTTTTCCCCCTTCCTTCCTTCCTTCCTCCCTTGGTGCAAAGTATGATGCTTTACAGTTATCGGTACAACAGTGTGCTATGATCTGATACTTTCCTTTGGTGGGCGAGGGCGCGGGGGTGGATTGGAAAAAAAAAAATCAAAAAAATCACAGGTTTCCAAACCTGGTCGGAGGAGGATGAGGATGAGGATGAGGACAAGGAGGAGAAAGGGGGGTGTTTGTGTCGTGTCATAAATTTATATGATACCATACAGTTATTATATGCCAGGTCAGTTACGGTAGTTAGTTGGTAAAATTTGTCATATTATGGCACCGCTGCTCGAGGGCGATATGATGGTCCGTTTTGAATTGTTTGTTGCGTTTGTTGGGTCACCACCAAAATGGGAGCGACTTTAATCCGGCGACTTGAGTGGGGCGGGATGGATTGATAAGTACCGTATTTTCTTTTACGATTGGCCATCTCAGGAAGAGGTGGTACGGTAAAAACTTTGGCCATTCGCCATCTCGGTTAGGTCGCAAATCTCGGGATTCACGACAAAGTTTCTTGATATGGATTAGTACTTTCCCAACATGGTATAGCCTCAGTGCTTTGGCCTTATTTGATCTTCTCAGCTTTCCAAACTAAACCTATCTTGGGCTAATGACTCGGTCTCTAGGAATCCTCAGATGGCCAATCGTAAAAGAAAATACGGTACAGTACTGTACTAGCATGACACGGGGGTACAGTACCGGCAACTGGGTGTATGGATCGTTAGAGTGGTTCCTTGTGGATATGATATCCATCCAGTCTACCCCATCGTACGGGACCAGTGTGATACTGTATGATATGATATAGCACAGTACAATTGGCTCGGCATCCCTCTCCGTGACTTGCGAGCGGGGAGTGGGAGCGAGGGTTACTATTAGCGGTACCCATATCGTACTCGAGCACTCGGAGGATGGAAGGGTCCATGCCACTCAATAAGTTTCATTCATATAGATGTTTGCTCCCCCCCCCCACCACCACCACTTCGCGCTTAGGATGATTTACTTTGAGCATTGGCTTGGCTTCCATAGTGGCTTGGGACTAGGGTATGCGGTGCTATACCTATACCTATACTACCGGATGAGTTACGGGGACTGCACGAGACCACGGAGTCGCGATTTCCATCAGCGATTATGATCCAAGTTCCTATTTATCCATATTATATAATATTGCATTGGCAAAATTGGTGGGAATAAGAAAGGAAAAGGAGAAGCAAAAAAAACTTCCATCAAGGATTGCGCTTCGTTTCGATGCATTCTAGATGTGCAGTGCATTGAATTATTGCATGCGATATTATTATTAAAACCACTCGTACTTGTACTGGTCGATCAATCAATCAATCGATCAATCACTCTGATCACGGTTGGCAGAATTATGATAAATGTGGAGGTGAGGAGGGAGGAAGAAAAAAAAAAAAGAGCACATTGTTGATCCCAACAAAAAGGGATGCTGTCGAAATTGAGGCTTTGACGTTCGTAAAGCCATCACTGTACTGTACAGTATTAGCACTCTACGAGTAGTTTTTTTTTTTCGCGGTGTGGCCTGGAGAGTGCTGGCACACGGGGGGCGCAACGACAGCAAGAGCGCCAAGCCAGCAAGCAGAATCTCTCTTCACTTCATGCTCTCGGCCAAGAAACCAAAATGTCACAAGAGGGAAGAGAGTAAATGAGGTTCGGTGTGTTGGAACCAACAACGGCAGCGGAGTTTCGCGGTATGAGCTTCGGAACTTGTTCGGAGTCACTCCTCGAGCCTGAAAAACCAACCCCGCTCTCATTATCTTCACGAGCCAATGCGAGTCCGGAACGGCCTTTTCCTCGGTGCGTGGTGGCCTCCAATGGCATTGGTATGGTTCCGATGGGGCACGCGATTCGTCGACCGCTTGTAATCACTCATTTCTGCTCCGCTTTGTGCGATACCCGGCGCCTGGAAATGCCGCCACAGCGCCCCAGAGTAAGCTGCCAGCACGAGTACGGTATTCGTTGGGTGTCTGGTCACGGGGACAGGCACGGTGGGTCAGTTATTGTTTATTTCATTTTTCCAGCCAAAAAGCAAACACCATCTCCATCGATCCTTTCCTCCTCCTTCGGGCTCCCCCTACCGTAAAGTGGTGTCACTGCCTTGGTTGGGATTCGCTATCGGCCCCGGTACCGGATGATAGACGGCTCTCGGCCTCTTGTTACATGCTTACTTTTTGCGGATCGAGTTCCCCATGAATTACGTGCATTGGCGCGATTAATTTCTATCCCACGGGTCGGGCGTCGTAGGGGATAGAATTATAATGTTATCTCAAATCTTAAAATTTGAATCCCAAGGCTGTAACCGCGGAGTGGATCCTTTTGGTCGCGGCTTTCATCTTGCCACGGATGAGAGCTTGGATTATCAAGAGGGGGAGCACGGTTAGACTAATAATCCAAGATTTGCCACGGTACGACAGCACCGGTATACTTCACTCTTCATCATCATACTAATCTTTTGCCGGCATAGCGATCAGTCATGGAAAACACAAAAAAAAAAAAGTCAATGCATCGGGCTCGAGCGTGAGCATGGCTAGAGAGCACGAACGGACAAGGCGGAAGAGAAGAAAAGGGTAAGAAGAGAGCAGGAGGGGAAAAAAAGAAAAGAGCTAAATACTATTGTCATCTCATCGGATTCCCGTCCTGCAAGGACAATCGAGGCGGACGTTTGTCAGACAGAGATGAGCGGGCTGAGGATCTCGTGGTTACCCGACACTACCGGGCTTGGTGTAACTTTTGGATATGCCGTCATAACTTAGAATGAGATGCCGTATGAACCAAGGTACTGTAGTATTGTGTGGAAACCCTCCTCACCTCTTCACGATAAATGTTTACCGCCTTGGTTTGCTTACAAGCAACTGTGCGGGTACTTTATGGTGGGCTTTTTGGCTGAGGCTGCCTAGCTGATGGAGCGGAGAAAGACATGCGAGGGAGACTAAGAAGGATGTAAGCGGTAGTTAACGGCGTGGATCCCGGATGTCAGCCATTCTGTGGGAATAAAAAAAAACAAAAAAAACGTGTGGTATGCTTTCCGCAGCTGCAGCCGGTTCAGTTCAGAACGCTGCTGTCTGGAAAGGAGAGACATTGTGTCCGTCCCTTTTCTCCGGCGTGGGGAATGAAGCGGAGGAAATGGAAACCGAACGGGTCTGTTTCTTTGCCTCCGTTCAAGGTCCAGATGAAAAGGGTGGAAAAGGGGCAGGTGAGAACAGAACGCGGATAGGCTACGAGCAGATACGAGGGGGAAGGGAAGGAGGGGGAAGGGGAAGAAATCAGAGAGGGGGCTAGGATCAACATAGGGGACCCAATGGTACTTCGTGCTTGTACCTCTTGTAGAAACACTTTTCAGATAATAAGGCCTTTTCGTTTCCCTTCCCCACCCACACCAATGGTAGGGGCTCCACCTCTAGGAGCACCCGCACTTCCGTTACTTGACTTGTCTCTGGGCGGCGGCGGCGGCGGCGGGGGTTACTGTCCCTTTGGTTGACCAAGTTCCTGTAATTTCAGCAATCTCCCCATTTTTTTTCTCCCCTCAAGGAGAAGGGAGAGAGGCGGAAAAAGGCAAATCGTGGACATGACCTAGTTTCCTGACCTGAATCACACACTTTTCGTCACGACAAAAGGGAACATGGCGGTATTCGCCATGTCGCCGGATAAGCGTTTTTCCTCAATCTTCACCACGAAAAAAAATTCCGCATGGCCAAGAAGGAGGGAGGTTAGAGGAAGAAGAAAAAATTGTGCTGGGTTCTTGTCCTCTCTCCCCCCCCCAACAGAAAGGTACTGGGTCTTGCAAGTGATAACGGGCGCAAAATCGGGACGGGTTGAGTGCTTTACAATCAGTCCTCGGCGCGAAATCTTGCTGTCCTGGATGGTCCAGCCTCCCCGTGTTCATAATATCAAGTTATGTGTCGATGTGCAGGATAGGAACAAGGCCAGTACATCACAAATCGCTTAAGGGTACCCCCAAACTCCGAATTTCACAAATATCGAACCGCTATGAAATAGAGTGGATCGAGCTTCAGGTGCCAGCGGCTTCACTTTTCGCAGCAAGCGAAAATTCAGACTGCTGACCGAATATACGGGTACATCTGGAGATTTCGGGTTGGCGTGAAACAAGTTCTTAGATGATGGCAGCACAGGATACCGGGTAAAAGTTCTTGGTACAAGTACGAGTACTGTGCTCGAGTAGGTACCGCTGCAGTGCTTGTATGACCCCTGGTTGGCTGATGCGGCGGACTCAGCGGTGGTTGACTAATGGCAATTTTGGTGCAGTCGGCGGGCGTTGATTGCCTTCCATTGTGGATCAGCTCACACAATCACAGCGCAGCCAAGGGCTAAGCCGGATCTTCCTCCGCAAACCCAGTCAATCAAACTATTCCAGCAAATCTTTGAGGCGGTAGCGCGAAAGAGCCAACAGTGCTAGAGTATCATAGCACCATAGCCGCAGTGCTGGCTCGCTGTCCATTATGGATATCGCGGGTTGTGGATATGAAACGGGAGGAGTGGAAAGGGTCCATGGGAAAAGTAGGCATCTGGCTGGCTCATCCTCGCTGTATGATACAGTACCGTCATCCCCACCCTACGTCAGTTTCCAATGGGCAGCGTCCACTTCAGCTGGTAAGGCGGCCAGCACATGTTGAGACAGAGATGCAAAGGCACTACGGTATCGTTGGTCAATGCAGGCAGGGTCACGCACCGCCCACTCCTTCTCGCATCACCCGTTGCTCGCGCTGTGTCCAGAAGTTTCTCCGCAAGCGAGATCTCGCTGCAATGTACGGTTTGCCCCCCCCCCCCCTTCCAGCTCGGCGAAATCTGTCCTGTACCCACATGATTCTAGGCTTCGGCAGCAAATCTAAGGTCAGAGTGCCGCACCGCTCCATCGGTATCGGACAAGCTGGACCCGTGAGAATAGGCATTAAGGTGCAGATTTCGGTGCTTTGCTCGGGCAGCGTGAAATGTGGTCTACGAGCACATAGGGGTATGGGGTGCACTGTATACTACCGTGTTATCTGCTTCCACTTCCTCGTGTGTGTCGTGTTGGCGGGATTAAAATATCTTGGATAGGATAGAGGGGAGGAGGGGCAAGATGGACCCTCACAGATCCTTGCTCGGTAAAGTCTGGCCACCATAGCCATTGGACACTTGCTGCTTGTCGCTTCCTCCTCCCCCTTGCATGAAGTTCCATCTATGATCGCCTCATCGCCGAGGGTACTTGTACATTTCCCAGCCAGGCAGAACCATAGTAAAATTTTGGTACAGCACAAGCGGCTGTCCTGGTGGCCTGTATTGTACTAGTGCTCGCACCGTTCTGTACCCGATGTATTGATACCGGTAATACCCTCGAGCACTCTATCACACCGTAGTTGGCAGCAGCCTCCGTTGTTGGTGCTTAGGTACCCGCCCCGTCTGTCTCTTGACCCAATGTTTCCTTTTTTTTTATCCCTTCCGGCTGCCTACTCCTGACCTCTACCAGGTGGCTGCGGGGGAAAAGGCGACGTCGGTGGGTCAGTGGTTGGTGATCCAGGGTGTCAGCCCTCGTCTTTCACCCACACCTGCCCTCCCCCCCCCCGCAGGCCCCACGACCTATGGGGTCTTACAGCGACACTCCCTCCAGACCCTATCCTTGTGAGCGACCACTCACGTCCCAAATATGCCAGAAGGGAGAAAAAAGTAAAGTGCAGAACAGCATGGGCCTTGTGCTGGGGGGCGAAATCCCTTCGGCTGCCCATAGTAACTATATATCACGGCCACCTCGCCCGCCGCGCGAGCAGCCGTCACCGTAACCTCTCTGCCGGGTGCCTCTTGCGTTTACCATAGCAAGCATTTTTTTTCTTCCCCTCTCCGTTATTATATACTTGACTGCCCTTCCCCCCCCCCACTCGACTCTCGTTTACTTTCTTTTTTAGTTCCCCAAGGATTATATACCGGTTTGCCTACCGCCTCCCGCCTCTTCAGAGTTCAAGTATCCTAGACGACTTCCCTTTGGACGTACCCAATTACCGTTATACGTCGTGCCCATTCGTCATTCGTTTTGAATCATTGATCGGTTGTCTGATACTATCCGCTACTACCACACATACCACCACTACCACTGTTACTATTACTACTACTGCTGCTGCTACGACGGTTACTACGAGCTATTACGAATCAAGGGTTTTGGCTGCGCGAGTTTTGGATTTTATGTTCGTCTCGTAAATCACGGGGTATCTTTTTGCAACCAAATCCGAAGAGCGGCCCTCATTCACGGGCGGAATGTCTGCAAGTTGCCCTTCGCCATTTGTCCCTGGGAGTGATTACCCGGAGAGGGGAGGTGGTGAGTTTGGCCGCAAGACCATTGGTTCCCCATGCCATAACAGCCAACTGATGAACCCTTCAGACACCAATTCTAGAGTTTGCGTACCGCTGCTCTCTGGCGGAGGAACATGCTGCCTACCATGCCCCAGGCAACATTGGGTATACCCCGACGGTGAGTTGTGCACCAGCGGTGGGCACCGGAGTTTCCAGGCTAATGGGGTCCCTTAGATTTCCAGCGATTAGTGCGTTACTCCACAATCGTGAATTTTGTGGGCGTAGGATGTTGCGTTTTCATGCTGCTTAGTTTTGCGGTTTTGCCGGTCGAATTCACACATAGACACTACCTGAGCGTGTGTCTGGTGTTGGCTATAATGCTGATGCAGGTACGCGTGGCCCAATGGTGTTGGATAGGATGGGATGAATGGGTAGATGAGATGGGATGGATGGGCTGACCAACCCAGGTATCCTTCATAATACCTATGGGGAGTTCATCGACACAGTGCTTTGACAAGATTACGCCTCACGATATGTATTCGAGCATAAATTGTGCCCTCTCCGGTGCCTTCTTACTGGGTGGAGGATGGTGTACGGTCATGTGGGGTACGTTTGCTGCTCAACTCGATGGGCTCGGGGATCCGGCTGACAGGTCTAGTTTTCCTACGGACCTTATCACTACATCTTCAGATTTGTTGGCAAGTAATTCCCGGGCGCCGCTTCTTCCTTAGTGCACAGGCCGCTGGGTGGTCCATACCCGTGGTTTTCCTAGCTGTAGCACTATCCGTAACCGGAGTCTCGTTCCGGTTCGGTGAATCGTGTCATATAAATTCCAAGGCAGGGCTACAGACCTTCTGGGGACCGCTCCTAGCGGTGGCCGCGGCATCCATCGTCACTCAGTCGATAACGTGAGTGGTTCCCCTGCCATCTAACCAACACGTAGCTGACGGGACGGTAGCTTTGGATACTGCATCCAGGTCTATCTCCGCAGTCTGATGGAAGAGAAGGAAGCAACGGAGCTACGATCGCCACTGCCATATGCAACTAGTATTAGAACTGTGACCGCGGGGCAGGCTTTCAGAAGGATCCAGAGGGTCGTATTGCTGCAGTGGAGGGGGATATTCGTGGTCGTCCTGATTCTTGCCGACGTGGTGTTTTTTGCGACGGTTTTCTTGCAATTTGATGGGACTACGGAGAAAACACCGGAGAATGTGAAGGCAGGGTTCGGGTGGTTAATGTGCTTACTCCAGAACGACGGAGATAAGGAGAAGTGTTACGACGTTGCAGCGGAAGTTGTGATACCTGAGGCAACTGCCCTAGCAGTGCTGTTCTTGTTATCGGTAAGTTTCCCATTCTTATAGGATAGTGATAAGATTGGATTTAATGGTAGCTTAGTTTAATGGGATCTGGGCTCTCATCCTACTTGGCAATTTCTCCATCCTCGCTGGCTGGTACAACTTCTTCAAAAACATCTTTGTTCGGAAGAAGCCAAATGACGAGTTCGTCTCGTTCAACGCTAGATGTCTCTCCGAACCCGATCCACCGTATGAAATGCTTGATTCTCTAAAGACCGGAAAGGGCCAGCCCCCGTCAACGCCAGGAAGCTTTCACCCAGCAGTCTTGAAACCCGGACAAGACACCAGCCTCTCACTCTCAATGCCCAGGGAATACAATCCTAACACATTCTCAGCACAACTCAGAGGGCGTGCGGACAGCGACGCATACAGCCACTCATCAAAATTACGATCTGAGAGCTCGTTTTCTTCGCCACCCTACACACCATTTAAAGACATTGAGGCAGCCGGGCGAACACCCCCGGCGCCATATTCACCATATAAAGAGTTGGACTCGGCGGGCCGAAGCCCATCCTTGAGTAGCCAATTCTCTCCATATCGAGATCTTCGCGAGGATGATAAGAATGAGGCATCGGATTATATTTCCCCACAAACACCCCAATATCCCCCTGATGCAAAGATCGGAGTGGCTTCATAGAGATCCTCCATCAGTTATTTTTTTTCTATTCCTTTTTGTATTAATTGGATAATTTGTGATTTAGCGGATGGGCTCGGTGTATCATTGGCTTTTTTTTTCCCCCTCCTTTCTCTCCTATTCTCGGGGCTGCGTGGGGAATGGCGGTTCCTTACACCTTTTCTCTTCTCTTTGGGGGGTTCCTGACAAGCGCTATTTCTTCTGTGTTTTGCTTTCCTTGAGCTTGGGCGGTCTGGCGCAATCATTACGGTATGAAATTGGCTAGCTGGCGGAAACCCGGACAAACCTGTCCGAACTCTTATCCTTTCTCCTATTTCCCTTCTTGTTTACTATAGCTTTTTCTAGCCACACCCCCATTTTTATTTTTACTTTGTATATATTGGCGTAACGTGGAATCTGTTAATAGGGAGATGAGCGAGAGAGAGGTTTCTTCCACTTGGGCTGTTCCATTGGTATTTCCACGATTCATCCCTGAGTGTGGACTGCAATGGCGGAATAGCCAAATACAGTACACGACCCGCCCAAACACGGAGCGGCCTGTAATCTAGGATTACTAAGATTCGAGCAGCCAGTAACGAGCGTGTGTTTGGACGGTGCCCATCTCGGCGTTCCGCGATTGCAGTCGACTTACAAGTAGATGGCCAGGAACCCGCAGCCCCAACCGGCACGATACTGTTTTGTATACGGGAGTCCATAGAAGGATGGATTACTCGTACTGGAGCGTACTGGGGCTGGGAAGAGGACCTACCGCGCAGGGGTGGATTCCATTGCGTTTTGTTTTTTCTCTCTTCTTTCCACCGTTGGGGTGACATTTCATTAACACTCGCGGTTATGGCCAGCCAATCAGCCAACGGGAGAGCCCTAGTCACCATCATCAGGGGGGACCATTCGTTAAGTTAAGAAGGTATAATATGATGGAGGATTAATAAAGTCTGAGGCTGTTTATACCGTATCGCTCTTTTCTCTCTCTCTCTCTCTCTCCTACTCCTTTTTTTACTTTGAAAAAAGGAGAAAAAAACAAAAGTTTTTCCTTTTTTTTACTATATCGCTGATGGGAGTACAAGTGTGAGTACAGCACCGGTACTCGTACAATATCGTACTTGTACTATACTCGAGTAACTTACCATACTCGTGAATTCCAAAGATAATCCGGAGACTTCTTGTCCCCCAAGGATCTGCGGTTGTGCAGGCCTTGGCATGAATCGAGGTGTCCTGATGCTTACGGAATCCGTGAGTAGAGAGAGTGTGTAAGGCACTCGTACAGTACCGTACCAGTACCGTACTCGTGGGACTAGAGTAAACACCATCCAGCCTTGTATCATACCGGTAGTTGGGTATAAAGCATGTATCCAATCATCTTGGTATCACCACTATCATTCCATTATTTCTATTATTATTATTTAATTCCCACCACCCCTATTCCTTCCCATTCCCGGTTCTTGACCATTGTTGCGCAAGCGTAGACATAGTATCGATTATATATATATATATATATATATATATATTACTTGACGATATCATCGCTTCATACCCCTTAAAGCGTGATACTTGCTCCTTCTTGACGACAGGAGAAAGCATCACGCAATATATTCTGTACAGCACTGGATGATGATGATACCCCACCTAGGCTATTTTATCGCCAAACAGACAAAACCGCCCCCGCGCCACCGCACGGTGGCCGTGGATCCGTGTGAGCTGAGGTGTGTACTCGTAACTGTAATAAACGGGGGTACGACAGCCGGGGCTATCGGCGGGTTCGTGGCTAATCGGCTCCTGTTAACCCCGCGCTTAGGGTGTCAAAACCTGACTGGAATTCCGGTCGATTATATCTGGGGGGTATGATGGATATGTCAGGTTTCTTTATCGCCAAGATGGCACAACAGTTTTTTTTATTCTGTTTTTGTTTTTGTTTTTCTTGGTGTTGTACTGTATGATACTGTGCTGTACTGTACTGTAAGTTACCTGATTCCTCTGTATGATATTGTACTTGTATCACCATTCCGTGTGTGTGCATGCGTGCATACTAGACTATGTTGCCATACAGACCCTTCAACAATTGCCGGGTGAGTGAGTGACTCTGATGTTAGGCAGTCAGTCAGTCAGTCAGTCAGTCAGTCAGTCAGTCAGTCAGTCAGTCCATATCTCAGTGGCAAATTTGCGCCGGTTAGGAGGTGAGGTTTGTAAGGAGGGTTCCAGGGTAACCGGAACACGACGTACCGGTACTGTACTCTAGATGCAATACCACTCACTTATGATATCAATGTACGATACTTGCCCCGATCGATAATACGTACCTACAATTACTGCGCCGTAAGGAGGCGGGGTCGTCCTTCTCCTGTCATACCAGTTTCCTGTCATTCGCTCATTCATTCATTCATCCATCCCCCCCCCGCGCACGTGGAATGTTTTTGTATATCATACATTGGAGGCGTTTGTATCATATACTCTCACAGAGGGTGGCACAGCACTATACCATGTACTCTCACATAGGTACTCGCTACATCCTCCCCCCGGAAAACGGTTTATTGTATTGTTCATTATATACATGGATAACGATGGAAAGGGTATGTATGACACTACACCCCCTCCTCCCCCCTCCCTCCCTCCCCATACAAGGCGTGCGATTAACCTTACTTTATGTAACGAGACGCCTTTTTTTTTTTTTTTTTCTATGACACGCGCCCGCTGAACTTCTCATTCACTCATTCATTACCATACCTGTCGGTACCTGGGGAAGGAAATAATGGCTTATAACGCAACGGCTGGGCAAGGCGGTTACATGTACCGTACATGTACAAGTACCGTATTAGTACTGTACTGTACCTGCGCCTCCCCCGCCCGAGTGAGATTTTGTGAGATCTACGGTACGGCAGGTATGATAATTATGATCGGGCGGAGATTATGCTCCGACGGTGACATATCCAGCTGAAGGGATCGCGGGGCGGGTAAGCAGCTATATGTAATGTGTGTGGAGGGTGGGGGGGGTGGGGATCGCGAAAAAAAAAAGCCTGGCGGGGCATGTGGGGGGGACGGGGAATACAAGATGTAATAATGATGATCGTCACAACGGTTCACGTATCCTCCTGGGAATGTGAAAGTGAGGCGGGGCAAGGAAATCTGGACTCCTGCGCCCGGGGCAAAAAAGAATCAAAAAGAATCATATTACTGTACGGTAATTACAGTCACAATCCTCCTTCGTTCGTAGTTGGAAGGTGACAAGTATTGTATTATACAAGAATGCATGCGTGTCACGTGGATGGGTGAACATTCCTTCCCCACACACCCCGAGTCGTGTGATGAGCCAATGGATTTTCTGGAAATGTTGTTTTGGTTTGGTCTGGTCTGGTCTGGTCTGGTCTGGTTTTGGGGATTTCACACCTTCCCAACCCTCGCACGGTACTTGAAAATTCCTCCTCCACATGTGTGATAGGATGGTTGGATGGGTAGATGGGTGGATGGATGGATCTCCCTAGGTGTTTGGTACGGGTGCACGCGAGGATCTGCTGTTGATTATGCGCTCCCGTCCGTCCAGGCAGGTTTGGGACCGCGGGGTAAGACAGTTGGTGTTCCCATGTGATTCTTATTCTTATTTTTTGTCTATTTATTTACTTATTATTATTATTATTATTCCCTTGCTTTCCTTCCTTCCTTCCTTCCGCTGTGGTTTTCGACCCCTATGTGATTGGTCTCTCGTGTATCATTCTTTTTATTATTCTTCCTCCTTCAAGTATCGTGCCCCTATCATAGCTTTTTTTCCTCCTCCCTTTTTTCATAAAAATAATAATAAAAATAATAATAATAATAATAAACCAACTTTCGGGTTTCGAACGGTGGAGCTGAGCTGTGGGGAAAACTGACCACGATATTCGAAATACCGGTGGTTGAACTAGATATTTGGATGGGTGCTTATCGATACGGGTATAATACCCTTAGCGATGCCCAGCTCTCCCATTCATGCATTGTATTCATAGCCTCACAGATCCCTCCGGTCGCTATTTTTAACGCTTGCTTGGGTTTTTCCGTTTATCCATGGGGCTATATCGCGTGCTCCCCCCCGGGTCCCAATTGCCCTCCTGCCGCACTAGATTCACCCGACGGAAGTTGCCCCCCCCCCCCAATTTCCTGCGCTCTGATTCACGGGATATCACTCGAGTAGTGTGGTACAATTCCCTACTCCCCAGAGAAAAGAATTCAGCTATCATACTATCATACTTTGCATAAGGTGTCTGGAGAGGAGGGGGGGAGGGGGGGCTGAGGAGCCAGGGGTTCGCATGGAGCTGTTTATCAGGTTTGTTTGGCCCATTGGTCCGCCGGCTGAATCAGCACGAGGGAAGGGGCTGGCGAGATACAGGGGGCAGTGGTAAAGCTTGAATTGCCCTGACTGGGATATTGCTAGTATCATTGCGTGGCCCATGTTGTGGTTTGTGAGCTAAAGTCCCATACTGTGTGGGGGTTACGGAAGAGAAGCTAAAATATGATGGAAAGTCACTTCTCGTTAATCTACAGTATGATACATTCCAATGCTCGGCTGATGCGTGTGTAGGTCGGGCATCATGACTGCCGCCCGGGTATAATAGCTTAAGTGTGTTGTCACTATATTTCTACCCCATGGGTAGCCTGATACCGCCGCATTCCCCCAACACATTACATGGTATGATGGAGAGTGAGAAAATAAAAACAAAATGTTGAGACCAAGAGCAGAGAATTGTTTTTTTTTTAAATTTTTCCTCCCTTCCTCACACCATATCCCACAACTCCCTAATCCCAATGCGTAGACACAGTTCGGCGATTCCCCCGCGCTCGCTCAATCACTAGAATAACGCAGGACTAACCCCCTGTTTGCAACCCCCCGGAAAGAACCAAATAGGAAACCCATGGATCAAAACAACTCCCTAGATCTTTGAAATGGCACAAGACAGAATAAATCCTCCCTTCCTTCCCAGCCACGAGCCATATCCACAAAATACTAAGGGGCGAAACACTATCATACTACTACTACTAGCCAAATTTGCAGGGAAAGAGAAGAAGGGGGGGGAGGGAACGACATAATCTCCCAAGCGAGTAATACCCGACCAGAACCAATTTCGGCCCCACCCCAAGGACCCGGTTGGTTATTTACATGTGAATATTTGCTATCATACCTTCCCTACAATACCGCCACTACTGTAGTACTCCCGTTCAGGAAGGATCGGGGGCAAGGTATAGGGGGGAACGGGGGTTGGGCACATGCATTCCACCCTCTATTTACCCGAGTGATGCTATATGAATAGGGTTCCTCAACTTTTCCCTTTTTTTTTTTGCCCCCTCAGTCCGTGGCGGTGGGTAGCTGCCAGTGGCGGCGATGGTGTGATACGATAGGAATATGGTAGAGGCGCTACGATGACTTCTTTTTTTACCTCCTTGGTGGCCGGCCACAGGTGGCGGGGGAAGCGATCATAGTAAAATCCCGGATCCCGTGTCTTTTGTGCCATGATCGATGCCTTCCGACGCCCAAGTTTTGAGAGTGGAAGCAGCTTGCCAATTCCAGAGCAGTGTAGGGTTAGCACAAGACTGTAGCCTCTCTTTTCTTCACAATTTGT